CGGGGGGCCAGAGGGGGCGATCGCGAATCTTGTGACCTTCGCGCCGTTTCCCGAATTTCTCGTTTTTTATACCTTTTAGTACAATTGACTTACTGTGTTTATAATTATTGTGTTATTTACTTCTAATATTTTTGATTATTTTCTCCGTTTTCCCTGTATTTGCTTCAGAACTGCCGGCCTGCACAGCTGCTAGCTGGCTGATTGTGGGCTCCCTGGGGACGCCTGCAGTTCGCGCCGCTTCCTAAAGCATTTGTTGCATCTTCCTTTTGCCTTCGTTGTTTCTTTGCTTTTTTTTGTTTCTTTGTTATCAAATTGTCATCGTATAAACTCCGCCAAAAATGGGGGTTCTCAAGGTCTTGACGGTGCTCTCAGCTAGCGCCCTCTATGCTGTGGAGACCGAGGCAACAATCCCCGTTCAGGGAGGCATAAGTTCAGGTGAGTTTTTTTGCATGTGTTTAAACTTCAATAGAAAAAAAGGAAAGTAAAGAAAAATCCCTTTGCGTTGCATGTTCTTTCCCCCGCTATAGCCGCAAGAAAGGAAAGAAGGAAACGGAGGGAAAGCAAGAAGATCTGCATACAGCAACAGCCTCTACAAGCTATTTAACAACGCATAATCACTTTTCCTCAACTTTAATTTATTATTATTTCGTTAATAAGTTTATTTAATGGCATTTCGGGCCTCTCGTTCACAAACCCCTCCGCCGCTGCAGCAGTGTGCATGATTCAAATCCGTAGACTTGCTGCTGCTGCTACTACTGTTGCTGCTGCTGTTATTGTTTCTCTACGCAACACATTCCTTTTTAAACAAACATTAATCATCAAAAAAACAATTAAAAACTTCATCTCCCTTCATCTTTGTTTTATATTCTTTCGTTTGTGTTCCTGCAGTTACAACCCCCAAACCCAATTCACCTAACGCCCCCTCGCGTCTTCAGCCAACAGACAGCGAAGAAAGTAAGCAAACTAAATTTAAAAAAACACAACTCACAGAATATGAAGTAGCAGCAGCAGCAGCAACAGCAGCAGTAGCAGCAGCAA